GTCTGAGCCCCTGGCATTTGGTTCGGGCATGTTGGGAAAGGAGGGGTGAACCTGCAGATGAGAAACAGGAAAGGTCAAGAAAGGAGGAGGTTGGCAGCACAAGACTCAAGGGTACAGAAATGTCAAAAAGAAATCTCTTTCTTTTTGAGAAGAGAGTCTTTGGGACCCCTGCTTGAGAAGGGCTCTCAGGACATTGGTTCCCCAGGATTCCTTTTACCCTCCTCAGCCATCCGGGCACTCAGAGGCTGCTGGCATTATGGTGCAAAGGAGCCTGACTGCTGCTTCCACTATCAAAGCAGACTTTGGTATCATCCACATGATGCTGGTTTTAGTGACACAGGGAATGCAAATCCAGGCAAGAAGACCCTGGGAGGGCAATACACAAAGCCATGAGATGAAGTCAAAGGTGCAGTGCAGACCCCAGGAGGTTGGAGATGCCGGGAATGTGCAATGCTTGCCAAGAAAAGCTGGAGTCAGCCCAAGAGAGAGGTTCTGTGGGTTTCAGCCTGCACAGCCACAGGGGTGGGGCTGCCCAAACCCTTGGAACTCACATTTTACCACCATGTCCCCTGGATGCCAGATTGGAGCTATAGGACTTACTGTTTGCCCTGCTGGGTTTTGGTCTCACTTTGCTCTAATTCTTGTCTTCTTCTGTTTTCCCTTTTAGAGTGAGAATGTTTATTCCGTGCCATTGTACCTTGGGATTATATAGAATACTTTTGATTTTTACAGAGGCTCACAAGCTAAGAGTTTGCCTTAAGTCTCAGAAAAGACTTGTACTGAACTTCGGTAGAATGCTGGAACTGTAAAAGGATTCTTGTGCTTCTGTTTGTACGCAGGATAGTTGTATCGTGTTAGGCAGAATCATGAACTCGCTGTTGTCTTTTTTTGGAGATTAAGTATGGTTTGAGGAAATATACATAGGTCGTAAGTTGAGAAGGATGGGGTGTGGTGGTTAGGGTAGAGTTTTGACTTGGTTAGTTTTGGGATCCACCTTAAGGATTGGTGAAACACACTTTGAGGTAGGTTTGGGTGGATTATGAGGCATGGTTTTGAGGTTTATGTCTAGTTCTTTATGCCTTCCACTCTGGCACTCTTCCCCAGCTCTGCTTCCTGGCCAGCTTTGTTCTGCTGCACCCTTTCACCAGGTTTCTGCCGTGGGTCCTCGTGGATCATGGACTGATTCCTCTGAAACCGAGCTGGATAAAACTCTCCTTTAAGTCGGATGGTTGAGTATTGTGTCTCAGTGATGGAAGAGCTGACTAATACAAGCTGCATAACAAATTATCTCAAATTTAGCATCTTAAAATAACTAGCTTGCTGTCTCACATAGTTTCTGAGGGTCCGGAATCCTCTGAATCTATCCCAAGGCTGCCGGTAGGCTGTCCCCTGGGCCTGCAGACATCTCTGCACTTGACTGGAGATAGAGGCTCCTTGTCTAGGCCTCAGTTTCTCACTGACTGTTGACCAGAGGTCTTTTCCTTACTGTGTGGGCCCCTCCCTGGTCTGCCTCAATGTCCTCATGACATGGCAGCCTCCTCTCAGAGCAAATGATGGGAGTGGGGGATGGAGGAAGAGAGGTAGAGGGGGAAAGAGGCCTAAAAACAGAAGCCAGTGATATTTTGGCATCTCATCTTAGAAATGACATGCCCTCATTTCTGTCATACCCTCTTGGCCATCGAGACCAACCGGTATAGTGTGTGTGTGACTGCATGATGGTATTACCAGCTGAAGGCAGGGTCATGGGCAAACTCAGAAGCTGTTTATTTCTTTCTGCTCCTTCAGCAAACACTAAATCCTCTTAATTTGCCTCTGCAATATTTCTCCAATAGGAGGCAGAAGAAAAAGTCTTAGGAGAGCTCTAGGCATGGAGTTAAACTTCACAAAGAAGTGCAAGTAGTTTGGAAGAACCTTCTGGAACTTTTTTTTTTGGTAGTAGTGGTATTTGAACTCAGGGCCTTTGCACCATGCAACAATCCCAGTTTCTCTTTTTTTTCTTTTTAAATTTTATTTTAGAATAAACCAAGCAAAATAAAACAGAATAAATCCAATCAAACAAGACAGTGTGACACAAACTTTCAAAACAAGATAATAGGAAATCAGCAATGGTTGCCATAATGTCTGTTGTCTTCAGAATAGCTGCCCATACCTTCAGAAATAGTAAAATCAAACAAAACAGAATAGGATAGAATCAGTAAAAACAAAACAATGAATGCACTGCAGGACTTTAAAACAAAATAATAGTAAATGCAAAATGGCTACCATAATATTACTTGTTACCTTTGAAATAGCTGCGTATGCCATCAGATAATAATAAAATCAAATAAGATAAAACAGAGTAAAACCCAACCAAAAAAACCAATAAGAATGATACAGGATTTTGAAACAAGATATAATAGGGAATTAATAATGGCCACCACCTTCAGGAGAAGGTTCCCCCACAGATGCTACACTGTGTACTGTTGTCCTCTGAATAGATGATCAGATTACTGGCTTTAGACATGCAAAGTCAGTGAAACACTAAACACCACAAGCATTAAGTTGCATTTTACCTTATTAGTTTACCTTATAGTTTACCTATTACAGCCTGTGTTTCTGTGGATTAGCTGGTCGTTTACAGGGGCTGGGGGACATTGGCTCTTTTTGTCTCCCTCCCCAAGCGCCTGAAGGGACAGGCACCTGGTTCTCCCCCAGTTAGCCTGCACGTGATGCCAACTTACAGGAGGTCTTAGCTTCTTCTCTTCCCCTGTTTTCTTTTCTTTAATTATTTGAAATAGGTTCTTACTGAATCACTTAGGTTGGGCTCAAGTCCTCCTGCCTCAGCCTTCTAAAGTTCTGAGGTTACAGACGTGCCACCATGCCCAACTCTTCCTGGAACTGAGTTGCATTCTGTTTCTGTGATAAAGAAAACTATTGTCAGAAGAAGCAGGAGTTATACCTACCACTTGGCCAATGGGAGTAAGTTCCTTTTCACTGGTAACGCTTTTCCTTCTTGAGGCTGTCCTTTAAGATGGGCTTCTTTTGGAGGGAAAATATCTAACAGGTAGAATTTTCTGGGTTAAGTATGCCTTACCCACCTGCCTGGCAGTCTGAGCTGCTGAGCACTGGCACCTCCCTCATTAGGTTCTTACACAGCTCAGGGTTAGACAGTTAACTAAGGTTAAGTCAGTTAACCAAGGACCCAAAGGGAGCAGAGTGGAGGTTCCAAACACTTTAAATTGATAGGAGATTATGGGCCTTGCGTGAAAATTCATTCTTTTTTTTTAGGACTATAAACTTGAGATAAAGAATCATAGACTCACTGACCAGAAAAGAGAATACAAGTCACCTGCCTGCCCCCTCCTCCTTCATTTTATTGTGATACAAGCAGGTGAAAGAACTCACCCACTATATCATTTAATAGGTTGGAAGCCAGCCGGGAACAAGGTATCCTTTCTGCTCTCTCCCTGAGCCATGTGGTAATTCTGGCAGGTATAGCTGCAGGACAGTGTGCTGCAATCCTGGGTTTGCCCAAAGATCCCTGTCTACTCTTCTTGTGATCTCCTTTGAATGACAGGAAGCTTCGTGTCCCAAGCTGTCTTGGCTGTGGCTTCCTGCTTGGTGTGGCCATTGGGCAGCACCGGGGAAGGATCTAAGAACAGGAGCTGACGGCAGCTTTCGTGCAAGGCTCTTCTGCGCCTCAGCGCACACTCAGCAGTCGTCCTGTGACTCCTGGCCTGTGCTGTGACCAGGACACCCTGCTTCTCCACTCCAAAGAGCCATGGCTGCTTACTGCTGTGGCCCATCTCTGGGTAGCCTCAGACCTGCCGTTTGGCTCTTCTCTCTTCTATCATTTGTGTAGCCAGCTCCCTGTATTGTTACCTTTTAGGACTGGGCAGCTAGTTCAGTGGTAGAACGCTGGTCTCACATGTAGCCATAAAAAAAGCAGTTCTGTTTATTAAGACCTAGATTTGTTTCTCTTTTCCTTACTGGCCTTAACAGATGGAGTAGGGCCATTGTTCTGTTCTTACATATTGTAAGAACAAATAAATGTTCAGTTGGAATGATGATATTAAAACAGGAAAACCAGCTTATCCCAGAGAAATAGTGCCTTATTCATTTATGCTTTTAAGTTGAGCCGATTCAAGCAAAATCGTATTTGTGGTAACTTCTGAAAAGCAACAACTGGAAACATTTTCCTGAGGTGTTTTCCCAAGGAGTCAGGCTTTTGCCTTCTGCTCTGTGGTGTCAAAAGAATGGATTCCTTAGACTCTGTCAATCTTTTCCGTCTCTGTCAACCATGACTTAATCATGGAAGGGCTCTTTCTTGGTGGGAGTTTTGTATTTTTTAGTTGTAGCAGAACGAGTCCTAACGTCACGGCATTGGTTTTGTACACTTGCTTGAGTAAGGGCTGCGTATACTTGGCCTTCCCGTCACAAGTCTGGTTGTTGTGACCTACAGTCCTGTTTAGATGCCAACCCCTGTTCTTGGCATCCACACAAGGATTCCCACAAGGGTTCCATTTGAGAAGGTGGTTTCCAAGATTGGGGGGAACTGCCCGCCAGCGCTGGATTTGAGACCACCAGCTTGTTTTTCTAAGCATTAATATCTCAGTGATCTCCAAATGTATTTTCTTTTCCAGAATGCTTTCCAAAAAGCTTGTGAGAATGTCTCTCAAACTTTTTTTTGAAGACATAAGGGCCTAAGGAAAGGGGGCATGGATGATATAAATTATAACTTGGCAGACTTATATTTAAAATGTTATCCAAAAATATTTTTTTCTTAAAAAAAATCCTCTTTACATATTTAAGTAGTTCATTTGGGAGAAATAACCAGTCAGCTATTCACATAGCCAGCCCCGTGGCAGTTTCAGTTCAGTGTGCTTTGAACCAGCCAACTACAAAGCCTCAAATGTTTTCACTTTGAAAGCTCAACTTAACCTTCACTACCATGGTGGTGAGAAAAGTGACAACTCGTTTTAAAGATGCTCCTCCTTTGTGTCTTTGTCTTTCTTCTGCAGGCCATGTGTTTATACGATGGGATCTCCCATAAACAACAGGGCCCTCTTTCCATGCCAGGAGCCACCCGTTGCCATGTCAACATGGCAGGCCACAGTTCGAGCAGCTGCATCTTTTGTTGTTTTAATGAGTGGGGAAAATTCTGCCAAGCCAACACAGCTTCACGAAGGTACCGTACATGTGTTCTTTGCTTATTTATGCATTGCGCACATGCTGGACCCAGGAACCTAGTGAGCACTGTTTTTCTAAACTTTTGCTGTTGTTGTTGTTAAAGAACTGCTTTATTAGTTGGGTTGGAAGTAAACGTACTATAAAGCATCCCGCCAGAGAAAATAAGCAGGGGATGGAGAAGGGCACTGGGGAGTCTGAGCTTGGGATCTGGGGCTTTTCACCACACTTATCAATTCATAGTTTTATTTCAGCAGTCACTTTCACCTGGTGGTTTGTGGGCCCTCAGTGGGTGGTCTTGGCTGAAGACTTCCTGAGCAGGCAAGCTCAGAAAGGCCATTTTTGCCCAGTGATCTGCAGTTTGGGCTCTGTACGCGGTTGTTCACGGTGTTGAGAGACAGCTCCTGCGTGCAGGCCAGCCCCGGGGCTGTCCTGGCTGAGGTTCTGTTCTGTGTGCTCCTCACCTACCTGATGCTCTGAACCAAAGGTCTACTGGAAGGGTGGGTGGCAAGTGCTAGGGCATTGTCCAGATTTTGTGAAAGACTTGGTCATTCAATAATTAACTCTTCCGGTTGAGATCCTGAGCCTGTTGATGCCAGGTAACGTTTTTGTAGCCACAATATGTGTTTGTTTAAAATATGGTGTCTCCTCACACATACTTATTGTAGAAACTAAAAATATTCAGGAAAGAAAAAATAGTAAGGTTAAGTAACTTTTGAAAAATGACCATTCACATTTTATTTCATTTTCCTCCACTGTTTATCACCTGTATATATAATTGGAATTATTCAGAATTGTCACCATAGCCTATAGTGAGTGTTTATTCTGCTGCTTTTTTAACTCGTAGTAGATGCTGAACATTTCTCAGGTTATTTTTTTAATCCCAGGTTATTTTTTAAATACAACTTTAATGTTGTACAATATTTTATGAATATATCAGAATTTAACACCCACATATTGTTGGATATTTTGATCGTTACAAAGTTTTATTTCTATTATAAATAAAGTTACATTAAGTTCCCAAGAGGAACTTAAGAAACCAGAGTTACAGAGTCTAAATTTAGAATGTGTAGATACAGCTGTCCTAGGTAACTTCTTGTTTTCCAAAAGATTGTGTCAGTTTATGTTACCTGTCAGTGATTATAAGAGTCTGTTTTCTTGGAACTTTGCTCAGCAAAGACAAGAGAAGGTTGCTTTTTAATTGGGATTACTTCAGTTATTAGTGAGTTTCATTTGTTCTTATAGGTTTCTCACTTCCTATGTGTTTATATCTTTTGTCTTTTTTGTTGGGGGAATTGAACTCAGGGCTTTGCACTTGTCAGGCAAGCTCTGTGCCACTGAGCTGTGTATCACTGGCCCTTTTGTCCATTTTTTTAAAAAAATCGGTACCAGGGATCGAACTCACAACTGCGCACTTGCAAGGCAGCGCTTATGCTACTGAGCTAAATCCCCAGCCTCCCTTTTGTCCATTTTTATACTGAGGATATAATGAGATTTCAAAAAAAATTGTCTTGTTTTTTTAATTTGATTGGCTGGAGGAAAAAAAGACAAATTCATCTCTTACCACATTTCTAAAAATGTGCCAGTTAAGCAAGGTTTTTAATCTCATGTGATGTTTCTGATCAATAAGAGATTTCAATTTTTATGAAATAAAATTTATTGGGTTTGTCTTGGAAAAAGTCTTTCTTTGCCCTAAAATTTATTGTTATAGTTTAGATTTTAGTTTTTCTAATACTGATATAGTTTAGTGTTACAGTATACTTTATTATCAACACAGTTGTGAAGTGAAAATTAAATATTACCTTTTTTCAAGTAGAAATCAGTATTTCTGAGATTATTTTATCTTTTCTGATTTGTAACATCTCATTTATAAGGAGCTAACCTTGCATATGTATTCTCTTCAGTGAATATTTACTTGACTCCCTAAAGCAAAACAAACAATACATTTAAAAATTTTATTTTAAAAAATAGATTATATTTACATGGTTTATTTACAAATAAACAAAGGAAAAAAATTGCAATAAAGTCTGTTTCTTGCTCTTATTTAATCCACTGCCTAAAGCAGCTGAAGTTACTGGTTTTATTTGTATATTTTTCCTTTTTGTTTTTTAAGTCATGGCATGATAAACACACTGTTACATGGTACTTCTTCCTTTTCAATGAATGTATCTTATAGGTGTTTCATATGAGAACATAAAGAGCTTCTTCATTATTTTTAAGAGTAGAAGATTCCATCAGGAGGTGTTTTACAATTTAGTTAACTAAAAGTTCTAAAGTTTTTTTTTTTAATTTTTAATTTTTTATTTTTTTATCTGTACCGGGGATCGAACTCACGACTGCCTGCTTGCAAGGCAGACGCTTATGCCGCTGAGCTAAATCCCCAGCCCCCAAAAGCTCTAAAGTTTATTTCATATTAAATAAGGAATTTATGGGCATTTACTTCACTAATGTTTTTCAGCTGTAATTAATGAAATCTGGAATTTGGAACTAATGTTTTCTCTATGTTTTGTTTCTGTGTAATATTTTATCTTCTAGGTATTATTATTGGTTTACATTTTCATTCAGTTTCAAATCTTATTTTTAATAAGTATTTAAACTTCCTTCATTCTTGACCTCTTAGGGTTGAACTTGTTTCACAGTTGGCTGGGAAAGGGCTTCAATTCTTTTTTCTAGAAGAGTGAGTTTGTGATATATTTTCTGAACATTCCTCTCATATTGTATTCATTTAAGAACAGTTTTTGCCTTGGTGTAAGCTTAAGTAATTTCTTTCCCTCTTTAGAGACTATAATTATTATTTTCATTATCATATTTCATATTTTTAAGAGAAATTTGGTATCAGATGTTTTAATCTTTGAAAGTCGTCTGATTTTGCTACCTAGATGCTCAGAATTATTATTATTATTATTATTATTATTATTATTATTTTGGTACTGGGGATCAAACTCACCACTTCATGCTTGCCAGGCAGGGGCTTGTGCTGCTGAGCCAAACCCCCGGCCCCGCTCAGAATTAAAAAAAAAAAAAAAAATTATTTCAAAACTTTAGAACAAATCTGTAAGTGGTGCCTTTTAAAAAATCAATTTTTATTAGAGTATAACTCACATATAAATAAATGTAGGCATTTAAAATGTATCATTCAATGGGGTTTGACAGATTATATGTATAATATATGTATACCATGTCATTTCTACTACCTGGAAATTCTCCTGTCCTGGTGCACTGATTCCTCTCTACTGCTGCTTTACTCAACCACTAATTTCCATTTCTATAGATTATTTTTACTTCTTCTAAAAATTCATACAAATGGAGTCATTCAGTGTGTGCTCTTGTGTGTACACTGCCTGGTGGTTGAGACACTGATCTGCACTGTTGCTGGCATCAGCAGCTTGGTTTTGTTTGCTGGTTTGCATGAACAGTGACCCACTGTGTGGATCAGCCAGGTTACCCACTTACCTGTTGGCACCCTTTTGCATTGTTTGGGCCATTTTGAAAAACACACTGTGATCATTTACCTATAAAATATTTTTTGTGGATATGGTTTTTCATTTCTCTTGAGTAAATACCAGAGTGGAATTGCTAGGCCATATGATAAGTATACATTTAAGTTTCTAAATTTAAACTTACGATTTAGTATTTACAAATCATATCCAAAGTGCCTGTGTTATTTTGTATTCCTGCCAGCAATGTATAAGAATTCTAGTTGTTGCTTATCTTTGCAAGCACTTGATCTTGTCAGTCTTTTGAATTTTAATCCTCTGAGTATGAAATACTATCTCATTATGGTTTTATTTTGTACTTCTCTGATGACTAATAACATTGAATATCTTTTTATATTCTTACTGCATGTTTTTAATATTTTTCTTTGAAAGGGATCTCTTTAAGTCATTTTTCATATTTTAACGATGTGAAGGTTTTCGGTGTGGGTTATCAAAAACATTTTATGTAATACTTTAGACACAACCCTTTTTTTGTTTTGTACTGGGGATTAAACTCACGACCTCATGCTTGCCAGGCAGACGCTTATGCCACGTTTTTCTTAGATATAAAACCCAGTCTGTGTGTCTTGCCTTTTAATTTTTATTTTATTTTACTTATGTTCTGTGCCACTGATTTTCAGTAGTGTCATTTTTGTTTTTTACTAATTCCATTACAGGTTTCAATTATGTCATTGTAACATTTCAGTCTTCATTGTAAAAGATCTCTTTGGTCTTTTGATTTCGGTCTGTTATACTTAACATTTTAGCCTGTTACCTTCTCATGATTTTTTACTATTATTCATAGGAGTTACATCTTTCTTGTATCATAAGGATGGTGCCAGTTTCCTTAATTGGTCTAGGTTTCTGTATTAACATTTCTTTCCAAGGATTCTTCTTCCCAATTCTTTAGAATGATATCTGTTTTCACCTTTATCCTGCAAGATTTTGTTTCCCCACAGCTTTCCTCTCCTGTGTGTACCAACAGATAGAATAATTTGTTGGCTTCCCCAGCCCATTCACTGTCCACCTGTGTGCCGCAGTCCGCCTCAGTTCAGCAGAGGAAAAGCTGGCTGACATTCACACAGCTCATTCATCCAGGCTTATTGTCTTGTTAGTAGTTGTCTAGGAAAGCTCAGCTAGACTCCTGTGGGGTCTTTCTCTGCCTTCTCTCTTTGGTTCCCTGACATGTGGGATTGATTGAGCACATGTCACATTGCAGTCTCATGCAGATGCTGATACCTAGGCTTTTCCAGCCCATTGCAGTTTCCTGGTATAACTACACCTCCCAAGATGCTGTGTGGCTCTTCCCACTCCTTTTCACCTCACCTGCAACTCTCTCATTCATGATTTGGCCCTCCAATGTGAGGCCTTATGTTTAACAGTGCTTCTCAAACTTGAGTATTGTTTTTCTTTTTGGAGAGAAAAAGAATCTCATAGTTCAGTAGAGTTGACTTAAACTATGAATATCAGAATGATATTTTCAAAACTATGAGCTAAGACTAGATATAAACTGCATGCTCGTAAC